ATATATATATAATACATTCACTGTTTGCTCAATGTAAAAAAAAAGAAAAGAATATTTTATTTTAAACGCACGATTTATCACACGATCGTACACGATTTATATATCAAACTATACCGCGATAGTGTTTCACACGGCAGAAACGTCTGTTACCGAAGATGGGAAGGGGACGGAAGTCTGGTATGTGGTTGGAAGTATGCGAGCGAATCTTTAACGAAAGAACAGCTTACGCCGGTTCGTGTCCTGCGTACGAAATTATTATCCACCCACGTAGAGGATGTGAATCGTGTTTGAAGAGTGTAAACGAGACGTAATTACTTCCCGAGTAAAAGCAGAAAGGCGTCCTAAGCGATCTTGATCTAAACCACTTCCATGGAAATCTTACGCAAAACCAGGCTGTTGCTTGTTGAGCCGAGCGTTGCGAAATACCATCATTTCGCAAATACTCGTGGGCAAACAAAATTGAGCAGAACAAATGGGAAGAATTAACACAACAGAAACACGCAAATCAGGTATTTTATATATATATATATATCTCACAATGAATATAATAGATTATTTACGAAGGATTTGTTAAATCAAAAATTTAATTTGTAAAATCAATTATTGTCTGAAACGTGTTATATAACAAGTTTCTCTTTCTCTTTTGTAAAAATGCATGTTTTTTTTTTTGTTGATGGAAATTTTGAAGAAAACAGAGGAAAGGTATGATTCGTACTTCAACTCTGCAGGCTCTGTAGAATGTCTTGAACCGAGGTTCATAAGCTTTAATTACGGAAAAGTACCGCAACGACTGGCAATCGTATTAGTCGAGCACCGTGTACGAAAGCACGAGGTGAATTCACGTGTCGGTAAGTCAACAGCACTTGCTGTGATTCTGACAGAAGTGCAGCAAGCATAACAGAACGAGGGAAAAAAATCTAGTGTACGAGAACCATATTTTTTTTGTCCTGGTAAATCCATTTCTTGCTCTTATAAATTTAATGCATATTGTACATGCTATCTTGCCAATCACGCTAAGCGTAAACCAAATAATGAAAATACTAAAATTTTGTTCTGCATAGCAATTTCTTTTCTCTATTTTTGTTATTTATTATCTGTATGTGGATTTTATCCTTATTCTAATTTTAACGTATATAATTAATTACGAAAACTACATAATTAGTGGCTTTGTTATATCATAAAATATTCTAACATTCTTTTAATAATAGTAACCTTCAACAAAATTAAAATAGTATTCGCACCGTGTTCATTCATTGATACGTTTATGATTGTATCACTTAGCATCTTCAACACCATATTTATCGCATTTGACAATGAGTCATGATTTTCGTGAGTATAGTAATTTAAGGTATTAAATTGTTTGTATCATTGAACACTATCTGAACTGAACTTTAGATCTGCACTCCACATGACTCTGTTGCCAATTGGAACTATTCATTTTAAAACTATCGATAGATGATTCCATAAAACAGCTGCATAAACGATTGTATAATATTTCAACTCAAAGTATTAAATTACTGTTGTGACCAATCGTATCTTTAATTGAAATAAAACCTCTTTACTATCAATATCCTAGATAGATTCCATCCTGCTATATTTTCATCAAAAACGCTGAATATTAAATTTTCATTCCACACGAGTCTCCCCTCAATTGAAACCATTAATTTAATATACAATTCTATGTATAAATTACACATTTCCATTCAAAGTATTAAAATCCATATAATGCCTGAAAATGTATAAAATACTTTTTATAATATTTAGTTTTCTTCTCAGTTTTCATAAATTTCACAAACAAAACTTTTATCACCAATGTCATATTCCTTGCTGTATTGCCCGAGTTTTAAATTGCATTTCTACGCGTGTCTTCTGCCAACTGAAATCATTCATATTATGGCTATTTAATTGCATAACCACTCACGGAGAGCATGTGCTGATAGAGAATATTGCCAAGGCCCATGCGTTGCCGTGACTCGTGCACGTAGAAGTCTAGAATGCACCTCGGTTTTAGCTGGTAATGAGCACCAGTCTCGTCGAACATGAAGAGGTTCTTCGATCCGGTCTTCAACAATCCCACCACGCTGCCAAGTCCGCTGGAAAATCGAAGGAAGATTGTAACATTATGCGATGATGATTCACGGCTGCGGTCCATGCTAGGTTCGCGTTCTTAGATGTAGATAGAGCGGTACGAAACACCGGGGATCAGTGACTTGAGGAACTTCTTCAGTAATGAAACTGAAGAAACTGGACCACCGTGTTCGTCACCGTGTGCTGTTTTTAGGAAGCACATGCTCTTCCTGGCGAGATTGCTATTTGCATCTTACACTTATTCGCTGTGACAACTTTGCAGATGGGGAACAAGATCAAGTTTTGAAATTAAAGTTTACTCTGAAATAGAGGTGATACTTGCTCATGGTGGTATATAGATTCTCACTCAAAATTACAAATGATTCTAAGTTAAAAATCAATCACAGATCATGAATGTAATTAATAAATTCATTTTTGCAAATGGATATTTTTATAAATTAAAAACAGTAAAGCCAACGAGATACCAATTGAGAATAAAAGCTTTTAATAATTATTCAAATTTTGTACACAATAATCATCAAGTAACGATGAAACTTTGTTGAAAGCTATTGTAGATTATAATTTATAATTCAAAATTTTTTTTTCATATCAAGCATTCCAGAAATTCCTCACGCTATCAACTTCCTTTATCTATTACCAATATTTATGGCCCACCATTGTTACAATAAACCACTAATTTAAACTATAATTTAAACTAGCTCAATAGTATCTTATTGTTAATTAAACTGGCTTCGTCACGAAGCTAGGAAAGTGCTTAGTTTCAATAATTCAATAGAATGATTTGAATACAATAATTTTAGAATTTCATGAACCAACTATTGTCTCTATGTATATGCAACGACCGGCAACAATTTTTATCCATGATGACAGTGAAAAACGACAAGATAAAACAATAAGTTTTTATACAAATAGATTACTAATTACTGATAAATGAAATTTTGAAAAGAACTAGATACAATGTAATAACTTGCTGATGAAAGAATTTAATAAATTAATCAACTAGTTCAAACATATATAGAGATGTAATATGTTGTCATATAACCATACAAGAAAAAATCGAATTATTCTCGTTTAAGGAATAACAATAACTTTTGAATGGCGGTATACAACGGAAGGATTCTGCGAGGATGTGGAACTAGATTTCTGTAGGGGAGGCGACACCAGACGTATCGATCGACCCGACCGACCATTTTGCACGCTATGAAACCCCTTATCCTGGGGAGTACAGCTTCCTTTCTGGCTGTTGCTTGGATTGCGCTTTTCAAGAAGCTCTTCATCGTTTACCCAGGTCTTTCTTTATTTAATGTTTTGAAGAAGCTAGCAATGATAATTGTAGTTTCGTGTTGCTCCTTTTTCACGATTTCCTAGTTCTTGACTAACTTGGTTTTT